GGAAGATTGAGAAAAATGTGGTAATACAAAAAGAACATGTATTTAGTAAGCTAAACCATTGTATTAAAGTGATACAATGATGATATGATTTTTAGATGATATTGTTGTAAAGACGTCTACAACAATACCATATGAAATATATATGAAATATATAGTTGTCATATAACTATGACGAGTGGAGTTAATCGTCTCCATTGGCCGAAATCCTAGGATATTATATTTTATACACCGAGAGAAATGGATTGTCACTTGTTAACAAATAGAGATGGTAACCCAACCTGTGTGATTGGAGATCCCATGAAGCAGGTTCATATGGGTAATAACAAGTCTTCTATTTGTTCCGCTAGCCTATTTTAAATGTTCATTTCTAGGGTGAGGCTAGACTGCATTTTTTTTTGAGAGGCTGAGCTAAAATTCTTAATGATTTTCATAGCCTTATGGCTGGTGTGTTAAGTGCAGAACACACTTGATGAGATCACCTATATGAGTGTGAGGTGGGGCCACCTCCATGAAGCATTGACAACGCTTCTAGAGCACTCAGGAATACCAAGCACGCACACGGCCTAAAGGCGCACCACGGCGTTAACGCGAGGAATTGTGGGGGGGGGGGGGGGGGGGGTGGGGGTGAGACATGGCCATTACGACCCTAATTTACCATAGTAGCTTCTTGGTTCATAGAAACTATAAGTTTCACCCAAAGCTCGGTTTATAAAGACTTAATCGTCTCGGTTTGGTTCATAGTGTACGGACACCAGACTTAAAGTCTCGTTCCCATTAATCCAACAGCTATTCAAATTATTTTGACTTAAAATAATGTTTATTTGAAATATGTGGGGGATTGTTGGAAATTTTTATAGTATTTCAAATAAACAAAAATAAACAAATTAATTTTGAATGTACACTTAATGTTCAACGTGCATAATGATATATCAATTTTGAACACATACGTTTTAGCATATAAATCAATACATTTATTTTACCTTAATTGATTTCCGTTTGTGCCAGGTTTGTAACGTATTTGGAGTATACCGTTTGTTTCAATTAAGCCATTTAATAAATTATCATTAAACCAAGTTCTCAAATTTGAAAGTGGTACGTCATGAGCTTATCAATATATATATATGACGAAGTGTTTTAAAAAAAATGAGAGAAAAAAATTCAAAGTGCTACCATTTACCAAAACAGCTGTTGTGTTACATATTATTCTTTTATCCTCGTAGTTCTGTGTCCGGCGAACTCGCCGAAGGACTCGTTATATCTTGGGGGAAGATTTCCGGCCACCGGAAATACTTTCTTTAGGACAGCGTCTGACGCGTCTCGAGCCGTATTATTTTTATAATATTGTTTTGCAGGTTCCGACGACGAAATATCCAACATGGATGTGGCGCTTCTTCGGTGGGGGCTCCTCGAAGTCCTCGTCATCGCTGAGCCTCCCAATTTCACGCTTCTCCATTGAGGTGTCCTCCTCCTTCTTGGCGGTGCTCACCCAGGTGTTTTTCCTTGGGGCACCTTTAACAAATTGGTGGAGTTCACCCCGTTGAATCAAGTGCTCAATGGCCTTCTTCAGCGTGCCGCAATCGTCTGTATCGTGGGAGGTGTTCTTGTGGTAGTGACAATAAGTGCCGCCCTGGTGGACGGCGTAGATTTCTTTCGTCGACCGAGGGTCCTTGGGAAAGAGATCCTGCTCCTCTACGTAGTCGAGGATGGTGCTCACCGAGCGTGTGAGGGGAGTCCTTGGCATGTCCAACCTTGTCCGCCATGGGCGCTCCTTCTGGCCCTGGCGGGCATGGCCTCCATGATCTCGTCCCCCGACCGAGGGTGCACTTGGAGCCGGCGCATTGTTTGTCTTCTTCGAGGACTGACCTCCATCTTTCTTGTGGGAGTGGAGCTCATCGGCGTCAGCATACAGGTTCCCTCACTGGAGTGCCTTGGTGTATGACCTTGATGGGTCGGTGATGAGGCTCCATGCGTAGGGGCTGCTGTGAAGAACCCCTTGAAAGAGGACGAGGAGGGTACGATCGTCGGCACCTTCGAGCTCATCCGTCTTCTTCATCCACCGCTCGATGAAGGACCGAAGTGTTTCATCAGGCTGTTGCTTGACGGAGAGGAGAGAAACGTTTCTTCGCGCGCTTCCTTCCGGCAAAATGGGTGAGGAAGCGCGGCACGAGATCTTGCCATGAATCCACGCTCCCCTCAGGTAGCATGTTAAACCACTCATACGCTAGTCCCTCGAGTGTGGAAAGGAGCCAACGACAGAGGTACTCGTCCGATGCGTTCACCATCTGCATGTTGTTCTGATAGCGACTGAAATGTTCTCGGGGGTCGGTGCGGCCGTCGTAGGGCTTAATGGTGTTCCCCCGATACTTCTCAAGTATTGGGGCCGAGAGTACCCTGGCGGTGAAGGGAGTTTTGGTCTTGATCTAGATGATGGGGTCACCGCGCCCCTCGGCCAGCTCCCTCTCCAGGGCACCGACCTTGTGTAAGAGGGCGTCGTAGCCAGGATCCCCGGACGTAGCGGTCGTACGTGTACCGGCTATTTGCTTTGCTTCCATCTGGCGGCCGTGGCGGTGCCTTGGGTTCGGTTGTGGGATGCATGAGCCGCATTGATCAGGTGACGTGCGTCCCCCTCATGTAACTTGCCCTTGCCTTTGTCAAGGCGGGGCCGATCCATTGTCCGGGATACGAACCCCAAGCTCTCCCTCGGTGAGCTAGGCTCACGCATTGATCAGGTGACGTGCGTCCCCCTCATGTAATGTAGTTAGTATTGGTAACTGTGATGTTATAAATGTATTGTTTTTAATATTTACTCATTAATTTGTCACTTAAGTTTGTTAATTGTTTTTAAAATGGAAATGAAAACTTTTATATGAGACGTTCAAAAAAGGAAAGTGAGAACCTTCTAATGAGACGGAGAAAGTAAGAATCTTCAACCCATTCATTGAGATAACTCTTTGAATTACAATGCAAGCTAAGAGTCTGTAAAAAAAAAATTTGGTAGATGTCTACTTAATGAAAAGATTGTCACTCACTTTATTTATCGTCATGGAAAATGACATAATGACTGTGAATTGAAGGCAGACTAATAAAGAATTCTTTTAATTATTTAATATCCCAGTTATTCAAGAATCATTTTTAGGAGTAAAATAGGTATCTATTTATTCAAGTAGCATTTTCCATTGTACAAAATGTGTAGTTTACTATTATTAAGTCTGTTCTGTTCTGATCTGCTCTGGTATTCACATAAAAATCAGTCTACTTAAAAACATTTTAAATACACATAACATAAAGATCACATTCAAAAATATTTACTTCTCACCTGCAAAACATAACTTATTATAACAAAGATACAACTTTTATCACAAATGCGGGATAATAGCCCTAAGTAGAATTAAATTAATCTCTAAATGCACGATTAGGACAATGTTATTTATGTTCCCAAAATAGAACTAAACTATACTCTATCTTCCTATTATACCATTACATAACTTAATAGAATAATCATATTTTAATTTATAATAAAAAATTGAAAAAAATAAAAAACACTTCTAAAATATTTTTGAAAAATATTTAAAATAATAAAAATGAAAAAGAAAGAAATTGAAACAAAACTTTAAAAATAAATAAAAAATAGATACGACATATTAAAAAAAATAAAAAAGTTGGAGGCTTTTCCTGCGGCCCGCCCACCGCCCATCAAGTCATCAACCCTTAATAAAATAAAAGCCCATTTGGTGGCTCTTTTTTCAACTTATCAGGCTTATCAACCAACCTTTTAATCAAACACGTAACTTTTGATTTCACGCGCTGAATTGTGTAATAATAAAAAAAAGTAAGGTTGGAGTTACTTTCGTGACTGTATTGGTTGAAGTCACTGTAAATGACCATTTTTAGCTATTTTTCATATATTTTTTTCTTTATTTTATTAATAAAATATAGAATTAATTATCAAAATAGGACTAAAAGTCATTCACTTTTCACAAACAGGATCAAAAAATAAACTATGTTTGCATAGGACTAATTATGTGCACCTTGGACAATTATACCCTTATAGCTATTAAAATGTTTTAATTCCTAATAAATTAATAAAAAATAATAAAAATTCGTAAAAAATACTAAAAAATTAAGAAAAACATTTCGATATTAAAAATTTAATTAATTTTTTTTTCAAAAAATTAAAAAAATTAAAAAAAAATTAAAAAAAAAAAACTAAAAAAAAAGAAATCGCCGCCGCCTCTGCCGCCTCAGCACCACCACCTCCAGTCACCAGGGGAAACAAATGCCAAGTTCGTTACGAATGCCATATTTATGGCAGAAAAAAATGAAAATGTTGGCATTCGAAAAGAGAAATATGCCACTTTTTTGTCATTTTCAGAAAACAATGACATTTTTTTCATCGACCAGAGGTGGTGGTGCTGGGAGGTAGTACAGGCGGTGGGAAAGGCATCCATATTTTTTTAATTTTTTTTACGGAGTTTTACTATTTTTTATAAATTTTTTAAAAAATAAAATTATTTTAAAAAAAGTTTTTGAATTTTTTATTTTATAAAAATTTTATAAAATTTTTAATTATATTTCTACGAATTTTTGAATTTTTTTCCGAATTTATTATGAATTAAACATTTAATTATGGCTTTTGACTATTTTTAATTCATATTTAATGGAAGGGTAAGAATGGAATGCAAAAATAGGTATGTTTCCAATAGGACTCATATGATCCTATTTTGGAATAAAAACATAGCAAGTCCTATTTTAGGTTTTTGCCATAGTTTTAGTCCTATTTGAACTAATTTCTATAAAATATATTTTGATTTTTTTTTCATAAATCAAGAGAATCAGCTAATACAGCCACTTCAATCAGAACTTAATAAATTTCAGCAGAATCAACTGATTTCATCCGAGTATTACAAAACGGGGTAGAGTACAAAACTCTAGCAGAGTTTTACTATTTACAAATTAGAAGGTTGTAAGGTCCTTCAAAAGAAAAACAAGATTGGTAAGGAAGAAATAATAACAACAAAAAATATGAAGCTTCCGTAACTCCCTTTGTCAAATTTCCCTCCCTCCCTCGTTCTTTTGTGACTTTGTCCATGTGCTGCAACCATTACAGACCCGGAACCGCAGGAGCTCACCACCGCAATCTCCACCGCAGGCTGCGAGTTTTACAAAACGGTTTCATTCTATCCCTATCTTTCAGCCAAACTCTCAATTTCATAGAAATCCCTTCTCGAGATTCAGGGTCGCTGTTAATTTTGTTGGGATTTGTGTGGTGAAATCTGGTTGTTTGGTTTTTTCTTCTTGGAACAAACAACTCCCCTGGCTTCATTGAAGCTGGAACTCAACAACTCCCCTAGTTGAGTGGTTTTATGAGTTTTGGTAAGGGATGGTAAGTAATCAGGAGGATGGGGAGAAGAACCCATCGAGAGGAGGAGGTGGGGGGGCTACCAGGTCATGGGGCACAGCCGTTTCGGGTCAATCTTTGTCAACTAGCGGAAGCATTGGGTCACCTTCCAGCCGGAGTGAGGCTGCCATGGCCACAACAGCAAGTGCAAGCACTTTGTCTCTGATAAGTAGCATTGATCTTCATGCTGATGACGCTGGATCCCAATCCGCTGCAGGGTCAGTCCTTTTCCCTCCACTTATATTTTCTGTTTTTTATTTTGTACTTGGAATATCTTTGAGTACCCAAATTATAAGTTGGTGAAGTTATCATATATTTTCCATGATGGGTGTATCCATACAATAGATGTTTATAGAGTTAATAGGGAACTGTATTTAGCTATTCATATATTAGATGTTTTTTCCAGAGTGATAAGGAATTTGTTATTTAGCTTTGAGGCATTACGTCATATATTTATTTTTCAATGCTGTCTGATAAAACTACTGAGAGACCAGATTCGATTGGACTTGTTGGTTAAACATAAAGGTTTGATTTTTAAACACACATTTACTTGTCTTCTCTTGGTTACATATTTCATCTATTTTGACTCACTATGCAACTACTTGGCTCTCATAGGAAAAAGAAAAGAGGTCAACGAGCACCAGGAGGGGATAAATCTGGCAGAGGACTGCGGCAGTTTAGCATGAAAGGTATACATATACATTTTTAGTTTTCTAATTTTTTTCTGGCATAAGGCTATCATGAGTTCAGTTAATTATGACAGATGTATGCTTTGTAGTTGGTATCTCTTGTGAAGTGTTGTGCATGTATCCATGTAACATACTTTGTTGAAAACCTCATGTTGATTAATGTTATTCCATTGTCTACATTCAGTGTGCGAGAAGGTGGAGAGCAAAGGAAGAACCACATACAATGAGGTTTGTTGCCTGTTGGTTTATCTCCACATGTATTATTGTATTTATACACTACTTATATAATTTTGAAGTCCCCTGGACCTTATATAATTTGGAATTCCCCTGAACCTTTAACTGTTTGGAACCCTTGAAGATACGAGTGAAAGACAATAGAGAAGAAAGTAGAGAGGACAATGAGAAACACTAGGGAAAGAAAATAAAGAAGAAAATAGAGAGGAAAGTGAGAGGAAAAGACAAATTGAGGGAAAGTAAAGGATAGATCCAAACCCAATAAATTTAGTCAACCTCATTGATTTGAGATCAAGGCTTGATTGTTGTCGTTGTTATAGTGTCAGATTTATAGTAACCCTAACCTGTGCGTAGCCCCACGTGTATGGGTAGGTCCATCTTGTATTCTGTTCATGATATGTGCTTCTTGTACAGACTATAGACACAGAAACATACATGCATCTCTGAATTCTATATATAAAGACTAAGAAATTTAAATATATGTTTTTTAGAATAAAATGATCATATTTTGTCCTCCTTCGCATTTTCCAAGGGGAAGGCTAACATAAAAAAATAACATTCTTTTGCATTTTCTTTCATTTCTTTAAAAGTTCACCTGATCCAAACATACCCTATCACCCTCAGGCAAATGCTATCATTGACCAGATATGCGTATTATGTGAATATGGATGATATTTTCATGTGGCTGCACAGTTCCTCACATTTCATTCACATGGTGTTTGTATGAACACTTACATCATTTCCAATGGAGCCAAAGACTCACTATTTTATGGCTTGGGAATATGATGGAATAAAGCAAAATGGCTCACTAAACTGTGTGTGCTTCTTTGTTTTGAAGCAACAGCCAGTTCATGCAATTTTCGAAACAATTTTCATCATGGGTCATCCAGAAACAGTCACTCTGTGCTTTAGTATAGGGGTAAGGCTGTGTACATCCAACCCTCCTTACCCCACCGTAGGTGGGAGCCTTTACGGCACTGGGGTGATGTTGTTGTTGTTGTGGTGGTGTTTTATATGAACAGAAGCCACAAAGTAGCTATGTATCTTATGTCATAAATGTTTCATTGTTTCTGGATACTATTTTATTTTGCATCAATTTGTATAAATATTTTTCTTTATAAATCATTTTTATGGTATTTTTAAAATGATGATCAATGTATTTATAGCCTAAGAATATCTTGCATTTCCTTTTGGGGAATGACGTGTTAAAAAAGTCCTAGCCTAGCTGCTGGCTTTGCTGTTCCTTAGCACAGTGAAGGCTCTTCGTAAGTTTTATTGAGAATGTGTAAATAAAAACATTATGTTTCTTTCAAGGAAAGTCTATATGGTGAATAAGGAACTTTAATAAAAACCCAAAATTGATCATTCCTCTGTAAAAAGAAGTCTTTTTTAAAAAAACTTGGTGTCCAAAAATAGTCATATTTCAACAAACAAAGCTTCTTTTTGTGTAACTTCGAAGAAAGAGTCACAAATGATCATTAAATGTGATAATATATAAAAACAAACAAATAAACACAAACTAAACATCATTTATCCTTAAAGAACTTCCTAGTTTGAATAGCACACTCTTCAAGGAAATAATGTTTTTTCTTTGACATCCTGAAGTGCCCTTTTTATTTAGGGTAAATGTTACTAAGTACACAGCTTGACACTGTACAGTCATTATTACTTAAGGGTCATAAGTAATTTGATAGGAATTTGTTTACCAAATAAGGAAAGGGTACTCTATCAGGAGGCATCCCAAAAAGGAAAGCAGAAATTTATTTAAAGGACGGAGGAAGTATAAGTTTGATTACTAAAACTATAACAGATGTACAATTCTACCTTGGCAAATTTATAGATGGTTCTTGTGTCCAAAGAATGGAAAAATTCTCAAGTTGTGGTCTCTGGTTGGCACTGCCAATATGGCTTTGAATAATAATTAGTCTATTGCATGAAGATATAATTTTCAGTTCCCATAGGTATAATGGTTTAATTAAAAACTTGCTTTGTGTGTGTCCGATGTACACTATTCAGGTAGCGGATGAACTTGTAGCTGAATTTTCTGATCCTATCAATGGTGTTTCAACTCCAGATCAGGTTGACAGTTTCTGCCTTTAAGATATTTATTTATTATTATTAATACCCCATCCCAAAAAGAATCTTGTTCTACCTTTTTATGGTAAGGTACAACTGCTACAAATCATTAACCCTATTTATATTTTGTAATTGTAAACTTATCTGTTGGTTTTACTAATGCTACTATATGTAATCGGTCTGTGGCACTTTGTTTTGGCAAAGCACATGAAAAATTAGCTTTGTCTTATGAACCATTACTTTTTTGTGACAAAGTGTTATGAAAAGTGAAACAAGACTTTTTTTGGGATGGCATATACCTCTCAGTTTTTCTATGCTTTAATGAATACTGAAATCTGCAATTTCACTTTGATAGCAACAATATGATGAGAAAAACATTCGACGCCGTGTGTATGATGCTTTGAATGTTCTTATGGCAATGGATATAATTTCGAAAGATAAGAAAGAAATACAGTGGAGAGGTCTGCCACGAACCAGCATAAATGACGTTGAAGAGTTAAAGGTTTACTTTTTAAATATTCAATTTAGTCACATTTACCTATGTTACATTACATTTATCTCTCTCATAGGCATTATTATTTTATTTGCAATTTAGATAGGCAAAAAAGTTATCCTCAACTGATGCAGTTCAATTCATATTTACAGACCGAGCGTCTTGGATTGAGAACCAGAATAGAGAAAAAAGCTTCCTATTTAGAAGAGCTGGAAGAACAGGTTAGCTTCGTTTCGAGACGCGCTTACAATTTTCTATGCTCTAAATGCATTAAAGATTTAGGGTTTGCTTGGATAGAGAATTCCAGAAGGGACAGGGTGATATTTAATTTATTTTTTTAAATAATTATACATTTAAGTGTTTGGAAATAAGGTGAAGGTAAAAAACTATATAGCTGAATTTATTTATTTGTAGTTTAAAACCAAGAAATAGAGATAAATCAGGAAAATAAAAATCAAGCTTACCCATCTAGCATCATACATTTATCTAGCTGTTCTTTTAATACTTGTGGACTTACTTCTAGTTTTCATCTAAAAAAAGTATGCAGGTCTTCAGAACCTCATGAAACGCAATGAGCAGTTATATAGCTCTGGAAATACTCCAACTGGTGGTGTGGCTCTACCATTTATATTGGTTCAGGTAGAATTGATTTTAGTAAGCCTTGCTAAGATATTGGTTATTTTTCTTGTTAAGTAATTTGTCCAAATCTTTCTTTATGTGAATGCAAGTAAAAGGACCAGTGCTTCTTTTCATTTCCATCTGGTGGTGAAAGCAAGGCTAACGTGTTCACACACGGGTCAATAGTTATTTCACTGCCTTGTCTCGCTGAAGTGTAAACATTCAATGCTTTTGGAGACAGTAGAGGGAGAAATACATCAACTTAATTAGTTTGGGATGATACATTATGATGTTTTTTCTCCCGCAAGATAGAAAATAAACTAGTACAGATAACACCTTCAAGGGAGCCAATAAAATGCATAGATTAAGAAGATAAACTTCATGATTTTGTTCACGGGTACAGACAGAAAAATAAAGAAATAGTAAATGCTGAACTAAGAATATGCATAAATTAGGGAGATGGAATTCAGTATTTGGTTCTAGGGGCAAACAGGCCTGTTTACATGTGACTAAATGGACGGGGTTGGGATTCAGTATTTGGTTTTAGGGGAAAACGGGCCTGTTTATCTGTGACTAAATGGTCTTAACTGGGAGTGTGACTCAATAAATCACCCACTCAGCTGTGTTGGCTTATGGCTTGATTGGCAATACCACTTCTTTTCAGCTAAAAATTGATTTAATCATTCATCCGTATATATTACGCTTTATCCAGATTCCCGACGTGTATTCTGCCATATTTAAAAGAAACCGCAATGGAATAAAGTGTGTTAATGAGTGAGTGTGTGCTAATACGTGAGATTACTTATTAACATCTGAAAAATAACCTCAACTTGGTTATTTATTAATCACACAAAGTAAGCAACCTCTATGCAAAAACCACTTCAGACAGACATGACTTAAATGAGGAAAAGTAAAGAACTCACGGCGAGCTAGAAAGTATCAAGTTTGTGATAACAACCAGATGTAACATGTAGTAATCAGGACTATATAGCTGTTAACTAAGCTTAACTGTAACTATAAGTACTTAATAAGACTCCATCATAAAAAAGAGGTCCTATTATACATTTATTATACAAAAGAACTTCTGTCACCTTTGTCCCAAGAAAAATAGTTACATCCTCCATCCCAAAAGAGTCCTATTTCAAAAACCTTGTGGTCCTCATTTTGTACAAAAAGAGTCCGGTAAAAGTTACTTCCTTTTTAAGTAAAACTCATTTTAAGCCAAGCGATTAGCGATTGTACATTTACTCTATATTACTCCAAACAATCTTGGAATTAAGTTTTGGAGGTATAATTTGCTAAAAATAAGTTGTACCTTAACAGCTTAACTGAAATAAGTATTTTTATTGGGGGGTTGGTGTGTGTGTGGAAAGAGTATACGAGTATATAACTATAGAAAATAATTATATTTGTTGAAAATGCCTTAATTTCCACCCAAAAAGTCCTGAACAAGTCAATGATGACATCTGACTAGTTGTATAGTGTCAACTGTCAAAGTTGTACTTGTGTGAAACATCAACTATTTTTTTTAGGGGCATAGGTACTACGAAAAAAGCATGGGGTTGGCTATCACGCATTTGGTCAAGATATTCTGCAATTATTTTCATGAACTCATTCTCTCTTATGCAGCAATACCTGTGCACACGAAAATCCATAAACTTGGCAATTTGGTTTGTTTTATGTGATACCCACAGCGTATACTAAATGTCAGAGAAGTTATCCAATGTTTGAGCCATTTTTTAAATCGCATCATACCTATAAGTTTCTTTTCCTTTTTCAATTCCAGACTCGTCCTCATGCAATGGTTGAAGTGGAAATATCAGAAGATATGCAATTGGTTCACTTTGACTTCAACAGGTAACACATTCATCTGCAAATTCGATATTTGCTTTAAGCATATCTTTTATTACTGATTTGTCTTTAGTATTGTTCTTGATATGATGATTCTGGTAATTAATAATGATAACCAAGTTGTGTAGTCCAATGTGGGTGGGAATCATGCATTCAACTCCAATGTTGTTCTAAATATGAAATCTTTTTCATAATATGATTTGTGTGCACTAAAAAAATGGTTGCAGCACACCGTTTGAGCTACACGATGACAATTATGTGCTCAAAGCAATGAAATTTTGCGAGAGGACAAATGATGACCTGCCCCGTGATGGTGACAGTGGAGGGGTGATCGAAATGGAAGGTTCCTATCAGAATGGTCTTCTTCCACCTCCTCCTCCTATACCGGCTGCTGCTGGCCGGCCCTTTGCATCATCATCGCCTACTACTCTCCCTGGAATACTAAAAGCCCGAGCATTGAAGCAAGAGCAATCTCCTTCAACGGCCACTACTTAATAACCCTTTCCTTAAACAGCCACTAGCGGATGATCTTTGAAAGACTTGAAAGCGGCATAAACATTTGTTAATTGGCAAGTCACTTTCTAGTCTTGACAGGAAAGAACGTAATCTTAACCTTGTAATGTAAAAATAGAACAATGTTGTCTTATGACGTGTCGTTCTTGGGGATATTCCATTTTAGAATCTTGATTAAAATCTAGAGTCATGCAAATGTACTGTATTACCCAACTATTTTTTTATTAGTACAAATTCATGAAATATTATAAAAGGTTTATTTAGTTCAAAATTTAGATTGGAGAAAAATAGAAAAAAGTGAGAACTTGTTATTAAATGCTCTCTTAGGGCAGTTAGGGCCTTAGGGGTGTATTGGGTATGTAATTAAGTGAAATTTTAATAGAAGTCTGTGTAGCTAAAATGTCTAAATGTATTCAATAAAGACTATGAGCTTGTTTACTAACCCTCATTTTCAACTTATTAGTTTTATCATGTAACTTTTGATTATGTACGTCAAAATGTGTAATAATAAAAATAAGTAGGATTGGAGTTCTTTTCTGATTGAATTGGCTGAAGTTATTGATGGACTCGGGCCGGGTCGGGCCCGGTCGGGCCACGGGTCGGGTCCGGTTCGGGCCGGACCGGTTAATTTTTTCTTTTATAATTTATATTTTATAGTTTATAGTTTTATACGAGTATTAAAAACAAACTTCAATTGCATTTATTTGAAATGAAATAGGAACTACATTTGAAAATTAAAACAAACTTTAAGAGATAAACATTTTGAAAATTGTAATCAATCGGAACTTCCCGCACCTCTCGATCCTTTGGCTTTGTCACATGACTTCATATGCTTGATTGCCATCCTGAATCCGCCTTAAACCCCCATGCTACATTTTTTCTCGCACCATTTGCAAATTGCATACCACATCCCGGTCTTCGGGTCCTTCTGCTTATCAAAATTATACCGTATAATGGCATCTTGATTTTCCATCTTAACTTCTTAAGTATAAACTATAAAGTAGATATATAAATAATAAATATAATATATTGGAGAATAAGAGAATTAGAGAGTAGAGAGTTAAGAATAGGATTTAGGAAGAATTGGAGAAGAGATATGAAAAAATGTTTAAGATTAGGAGTATTTATAGGTTTTTTTACCCCCCACCCCCCACCACCACCCCCCCACCACCCAACCCCCCCGGACCCCCCCCCTTTACCCTACCCAACGGCTATATAGCCGTTTGGATTGTCCCCAGCCCCACCCCCAACGGCTAGTAGCCCAAGAACCAATTTTTTTTTTAAAATCTCAAGACCGGACCCGGGCCCGGGCCCGACCCGGCCGGGCCCGGTCACATTAATCCAGCACCGAGCCCGCCCCGCCCATTCCCACCGGTTCGGGTCCATACCTGGTCCCGGACCGCCCGACCGGGCCGGTCCCGGGCCCACACAGTACCGGGCCAGGCCGGGTCACGGGCTGGGTGGCCCGAACCGAATCCACCCCTAGCTGAAGTTAGTGTAGAAGTTTGTTTTAGTTATTTTTCGTATACTTTTTCTTATGTTATTAATTATTATTTTTTGGAAATTATGTTATTAATTAATTAATTAATTAATTAATAAAATTTATTTTTAATTCAACTATCGAACTAGGATTTTGAAAAAGATATGATTAGTACATAACTACATATTCTATGTGGCTAGCATTGTGATCACTCGTTCACCCCCGGACCCCGGTAAGGATTGAGCGTTGTCATTTCAAATCGAACCGGAGCGAGGACCCACAAGGCCACAAGTGACCTGGGTTGATTCCACCATTCATGGTCAGTCTGGGAGCTCTAGCCCACCCCTATTTTCAAGTGCCCAATGCTCGGTTCGGGATGGTGTGGACCGTAGGTAGATTTGGGTTGGTTGCTTGGAGTGTCAGGGCAATACCACAATAAAATGTAAATATAATACATGTCACTTAATTTTTTAGTTGAGTTGGCATTATTAAAAAGATTAAGTCAGTTTTTTGATTGAATAATGAAGTCATGCTTTCAATTAAGCCGTAAGCAAACACAACTTGACCGAATGACTAAGTCATCATTCTCATTAAGTTCGTTAAGTCGGAAGTAAATAGTCCCTAAGTGGCATTTGTTATGAGACGAGGAAAAGGTAGAACATACGACTTCAGATTTGCACAAGAATTAAAAAACTAATGACAACTTATTATTAAAAAATCAATATAAATCACACATTTTTTGTCAAAAAAAGAAACATGGCATTTATTTTAGGACAACTCAAAAAAGAAAAATTAAGACAACAAAAATGGGACGAAGAAAGTATGTGGTAGACTTCTAGCTTAATGTGTACTAGATGTCATAAAACAATTTATCATAGTAAGTTGTAGCTTGATAGCTTGATATGTAATAGTTCAATACATAAAAAATGATTGGTTTGTGTCGGAGGTGGAAACAGGAAGGGGCGCTGAAGAACCATGTAGTCCACACTCACCCCCCACTTTTTATGATTTTTCCCCCACTTTTTATGATATGTTCGTAAATATTTATATCGCATATACTATATGTTGGGTTTTTCTTTATTTTTGACCCGTTAGGAAAGTCCAACTCTTGAGCCCATTAAAAGTCTTCTTTAGACTTTCTATTTAGGGATTTTTATAATAAAAAATTGGGTCTGCCATCTATCTAAAATACAAGGAGAGAGAGCAACGGATTGAGAGAAAAAGTCACAAAACATGAGCTGAACTGCTCATCCCGTTTTTCCATTACATAGCAGCAGAAAAGTTCCTTTTCCCAAAAATTGAACCGTCGGATCGTCGTGGTTGTTGGACACTAGTTACACAGCATCTGGGCCAACATTCTGGACGGTGGAGATCGGGTTTTGAGGTCCGGAGGTCAGGTTTCGTTGGTCTGGACATTAGCTATTTTTCTGATGATATATTTCTTATCTTGGCTCTATTTTGATTCCATACACCTTGATGTGCTTACTTCCAAGGATCTGATGATTTTGTATGCCTCTAGTATTATCTAGAGAAGACTTTGTATTGCTCCTTTGATGATGATAGTGGATTTAAGCGGCCAAAATGGTCTCATGGTTTTTCCCTAGTTTATGAGTTTTCCACGCTAAAAATCCGGTGTCTTTGTGTTGTTGTGTGCTTACGGTTTTAGCTGATTATATTGGTGTGTGACAGCATTATTGTGTGTGTTCTAATTGCATTAAGAATGCCATATTTGTTTACATCCTCAAAGGTTCATTCAAGTTAGGAAGGTTTAGTCAAATAGAGATTAATTCCGCATTTATTTGTTTACTGTTTGTGTGTGTTTTTCCCTTCACTGTGTATAAATTAATCCACCAACGATTAATTTGGCCCCGACTAAGGATGTTTTTACTTGGACTGTAATTCCTCCCAGACCAGTTCAGACCAGACTTGGATAGTTATAAAAATACAAAGAAACCAGACTAGACCAGACCAGTTCAGACCAGACCAGACCAAACCAAACCAGCAAATTACAGTCCAAGTAAAAACATCCTAATAATTAATCCCCCAACGATTTCCAGCTCCCCCAACTATATGTGGAACGAAGTAGATTAGTTAATCCAAACTGACTTTCATATTTTAAGGGTATGTTTGACACAATTAGCTGAAAAGATATTTTTACAGACTTTTTAGTAACTGTTAGCTTTTAGTGACTGAAAAGATTTTAAAAGTAAAAGGTGGTAGCTGTTTGGTAAAAAGTTGACTGTTTGGTTTAGTTCTGTTTGATATGCAAGCTGTTGAGATTAATTAATGCTAAAAGTCACAGACTTTTCTCATATGCTACTCCCTGTAGCATCTCAAAAAAGATCTTTTATTTTTTGAAAAACTCTTAAAATTTATCATGACAAACATATAACCAGAAGCTTTTAGAGACTTTTTAAATAGTACAGAAGCTAGAAGATAGAGACTTATACCCGCCAAACATGCACTAAATGTATTTGTCCTTTCTTTTATTATTATAAATATGAAGTTTTTTTTTTTGCAAATCTTGCATAGCAACACTAGTTATCCATGACTTCCATGACTTCCAAGTCTGACCCTTTCTTAAAAATTAATATTAACCGCATTTCATCGGACACCGTTAAGATTGTGTTAGGTGTGTCATAAAAATGTTAAAATTGTGCAATTGAGAGTGGAATAAAAAATTATTTACTTTAAAGAAAAAGTGATAAAGTTTTAATACAAATACACAAAGAAAGTTAACAAAGTCTAACGAGACAAAAGAGTATTGTACGAACTACGGATAGATGGGGATCGATGTGCGGATAACCTGCCCTTGATCATACACTGATGTAACCAGATTGAACTACTGAAGTGATGATGACACACCCCTAGACCATTTTGATCTTAGTTGGTATTAAAGGAAACAGATTTTATAAAATTAACACATACAAATCCTATGATATTTGATGGTAAGGAGATACTGATGTGTGATATGTTCCGTTACTTGGTATCCATATTTCAGAAGGATGATGAATTAGATGTAGATGTATGTCATAGAATCAGAGCTGGGTGGATGAAATGGAAGAGTGATTCAGGATTTCTATGCGATCGAGGGTATACCGACTAGACTAAAAGGTAAATTTTATCGTACAACAATTAGGCCGACATTAATGTATGGCGTAGAGTGTTGGGAGGTGAAACAATGTCATATTCAAAAGATGAGTGTGACAGAGATGCGTATGTTGCGTTGGATGTGTGGACATACCAGAAAAGACCGCTTGAGGAATGAGTTTATCAGACAAAAGGTGAGAGTAGCACCTATAGAAGATAAGATGCAGGAGTCTCGTTTGCGATGGTTTGGGCATGTGCGTAGAAGACCGAGTGATGCACCTGTTAGACGACTTGAGGGGTGGGGAGAAGAGGCAGAGAAGAGAGGGAGGAGAAGACCCAAACAGACTTGGATTAGAGGAATCAGAACTGATATGCGTCTTCTTGAGTTAGATGAGAGTATGGCTTTGGAGAGAGCAAAGTGGAGGGCGCACATCCGTGTGGGCGATTGATGTTTTTTCTACCTTTCCTCTCTTTTTTCTTTTATCGTTTATCTTCCTTATCTTTTTATATTCTTATGTTATTTTTATCTTCTAGTTTTTTTATGCTCTTTTATTTTTTATCTTTTACCTTTTTTATATTCTTATTTCCATCATTTGCAATGAAGCTAAAGATTCATTATTTTTTGACTTGAGATTATGATGGAATAAAGCAAAATGACTCACTAAACTGTCTGCGCTTCTTTGTTATGGAGCAACAGTCAGTCAATGCAATTTTCACTATGGATCATCCGAAAACAGTCTCTCTGTGATTTAGTACAGGAGTAAGACTGCTTACATCCGACTCTCCCTTACCCTGTCATAGGTGGGAGCCTTTGCGGCACTGGGGTAAATGAAAATGATGACCTTTTTTATATTCTTGTGTTATTGTTATCTTATATTTATTTATTTTTTATTTTATTCATTTTATCTTACTTTTTTTTCCCTTTCTTGTCTGTCTTCTCTTTTTGGCATCGATATCATAGGATTCATAGATCGATTCATGTTAGTAGACCCCAAATTCTTTTGGGATTAAGGCTTGGATGTGGTTCTTGTATACAAATCCTACTATATGCGTAGCATTTGTTATTTTCTCAAACAGAGCGAGTAATTGTGCACGAGCTCTTTTCACTTGTATCGCAAAATTTGCTACACTACGTTCGTATAACTGTAAAGGGTTTATTGGAATTTAGAAACATTTATTTAGATTAGTAAATCCAGTTCATGCCTTAAAGATTCTTCATCGTTTCTTTGATCTTTGGTACCACACCAGTCCGCAACCATATTTTTTTCTCAACGATCCCATAATGAGCTTAATAAAAAGCATAAATATAGGGTTGAAACCTAAAACATAAAACTATTGGCAGATTTGTCCCATAAGTCAGTCAGAAAGTGTTGAGTTCCAGTTAGGCAGCAAAACAAGATCAGGGATGATGCCTTCACTACACCACTATTTAAATTAAAAAGAAAAAAAGCCTACTAGTCTTGGCTTGTATTCATTGTACATGCCATACCGCTCTCTTGCCACTTCACGAAACCATCTATAAGGGCCTCACGCATCCATGCATGCCGACAACGTTCAGCTGCTTCTGGAATTGTCAACCAACTTCTTTGCCGGATTTTCTGCTCTGGCCAATATTCCAGCTCTTCCTTTACCAGCAAAGCGTACATGGCAGCCTTGCACAAACCTTCTGGACTAAACTCATCCTGAAGAGTCTTGCTCTTAAACTCGTAGTACCCCAGGAAATGCTGAAAATTCAAAACAAAATATAAGTCAGGAGAGCGCATTGGTAAAATCAATACACACAAAGATTTCAACTACATTGCAAAGCGATTAGAGAATTCTACAATCGTGTGAAACTAACCCTCCATTTATTGAACATCCTGACATAGGCTCTATTCTTTGATACAAAAAAGAAAGGCTTAGTATCCAATTTCAGCAAGGATTATTCATTGATTTTTCAAGCTACTGACGTGAATCTTCATTATATCTCCTCATCTTGGGTGTAAGGGTGTATGTTTTAATAAAAGTATGTTACAGAGGGTTTTCAATAAAAAATAATACTCCCTCCGTCCCATAAAGAAGTTCTCGTTCGGCTTACGATGCTTGATTGACGATAAAGCAACTTCATCCCTGTTCACACTCAGATTATTTTTAGTAAATAAAATTTACATATTCAGAAACTACATTAAAACCGCTACAAAGCCTGATCAAGAAAATTTAAATTTGATAAAAATTTGATATATAAAGTAAAAGATTAAGAGTGATTTAAGTTAAACAATGAATAGTGAACAAGAACTTCATTTCGGGACGGATGTAGTAGTAAATAATACTCCGTAAGTACTACACTAGTAATCCTTTCCTAACAATTCATTCATCATGCTTTCCGCTTTCCTTTTCAATCCCGTCCCAAAAATGAGATGGGGATGATGTAGTTACAACACTAACAATCATAGGTAGTGAAAAAAATAAGATTGAATTAATGGTTGCAGAGATATAGAATGGTGACATCAATGATGTTGGTGAGATGATGATTGCTGGGATGGTGATGGCAGTAGTTAAGTAAATGATTTGATGGAGGGGTGGTGACAAGAGGGATAATGATATGGCGGTGTTGTTGGTGACAGTAGAGTGACAATGAGGTGCTAGTATCAACAGTGAGAATGTGGCGGACTGGCGGTGCCAACAGCGATAGAAGCAACTTTAGTTTTGAGGGATAAGTGACTATGGCGACAGTGTCAATAAAGAGGAATTGATAATTTGATAACAGTGATGGCGGTGATTGGTGTTGAGCAAAGGCTACAGTGAGGGGAAGGGTTCACAATTGTGATAAAATGACGTTGGCAAGATTGTTACTGATGACTGGCCCATTGCAATAGTCAGTAGATGACTTGTGCGATACGACACTAGCTATTAATGTTAGGTGGTTACAACAACGGAAGTGGAGTGAAGATGTCAGTGATGATAGGTTTTGATAGGTTTGTCATGACAAATGCTAGTGAAGGGGTGACACCAATGATAGTGGACTAGAGGAGTCATTGAGGGATGGTAATGAGTAATGACGCTAATGGTTGTGTTATGAGTTGTAAACAAAGATAATTTTGGTGAGGAGTGAGGACAGTTATGGTGGCATGATAGTGACAACTGCGATTGTAGTAGGGTGCTGACATTGCTAATTGGTGGTGAATTGGTCGCAGTGATGGGTGTGTGATGACAGTGGCAGGGGTGGTTACCACGGTGATGTGACGGTGGTGAGTGTTGACAAAAACAGTGGTAAGCAGGATGGTTGTAGTGTGTGGAATAATGGTGGGAGGTGATGCCAATGGAAGGGTGCCCACAGTGGTTGTGATGGGATTTGAGCAAAGGCTACAGAGTACAGTGAGGGTTAGGGTTCACAATGGTGATGACTGGCCCATTGCAATAGTCAGCAGGTGACTTGTAAGATATGACACTACTTATACTTGTTTGGTGGTTACAACTAGGGCTGTAAACGAGCCGAGCTGAGCCCGAACACCCAAAGCTCGAGTTCGGCTCGATAAAGAATTAGTGGTGTTCGGGTTCGAGCTCGAAGCTCGACGAGCTTTACAAACAAGGCTCGTGTTCGGTTCGTCAGGCGTTCGATGTTCGAACCGAGCGCTCGATAAGCTCGATAAATATACTTGAATTTAAAATTTTAGGTGATGCTCGTTAATAGGCTCGTGCTCGAATGATTCGACAAGTATTCGATTCGTTAAAAATCATACTAATTATATTTAAATTTTGAAATATATGTAAATTATATTTAAATTCTAGGCGTTCGATAGGCTCGAGTTCGAACCGAGCCAAATACTACTATGTTCGAGCTCGGTTCGATTAAGTTTTCGAACTTAAAACTCAACTCAGGTTCGAGTTCGAAAACTCGTTAAGCTCGGTTCGTTACGTTTGAAACCGAGCTCGAACTCGAATAGTTCGATAAAAGCTCGGTTCGTTTACAGCCCTAGTTACAACAATGGAAGTGGAGTGAAGATGTCAGTAATGAAACGTTTTGCTAGGTTTGTCATGACAAGTGCTAGTGAAGGGGCGACACAAATGATAGTGGAGGAGTCAATGAGGGATGGTAATGACTAATGAGTAATGACATTACTAGTGGTTGTGTGATAACAATGGTAATGGTGGTGCCATGGTGAGGACACCTGTGGTGGCATGATAGTGACAACTGCGATCAGAGTAGGGTGCCAACATTGCTAATTGGTGTTGGGTTGGTCACAGTTATGGGTGTGTGATGGCAGTGGCAGGGGTGGTTATCACGGTGATGTGGCGGTGGTGAGTGTTGACAAAAACAATGCTAGGCGGGATGATGGTAGTGTGAATGTGGGGAGGTGATGGCAAAAGGAGGTCATAAAAATTGGTTATAAAATATAGACAATAAGTTCTTACAAAAAAGACCAGTCACTTTCAAATATTTTTAAAGTAGGGGGTATCTTAAGACTTCCTAAGGGGAGCCTTGGCACACCGGTTATGATGTTGTTGTGTGACTAAGAAGTCACGGGTTTAAGTTTTGGGAGTGACCTCTTGTCAAAATGACAAGAGAAGGCTTGCCCCTTGTACACCCTTGTGTTGGTGACATCGGACCCTCACCTTGCGGGAACACCAATGTGCACCTGGCTGCCTTTTCCTTTTATCTTAAGACTTCCAGAATAATTTTCCATCGACTTCATTCAGATTTGCAAACCAAACACATACAAATCTAACAGCTCATAGTAAGGTGGGGCAGAGAGGGGAAAATGCTCCTACTTTACTACTTGTCCGTGATTCACGTATTTGCACAGCAATAATTTTTGCAATGATTTTCTCTCTCCGTCCAGGAAAAGATAACCCACATGACCCAAGATGCTCTACCATCATCATCGACCAAAAAAAGCATGGCCTTTCAAAGTTTCAACCACAAATGATGGCAAAATACCAGATCATTCATCTGTCCGTGTGTATGTGTATATGCATGTGCACATGTAAAATGCTGCAACAGAATCTTGGCACTCACCTGTATCTCCCCACGAACTCCAGCCTCTTCAACAGCTTCACGCATAGCTGCCTGCTCAACTGTTTCATCATTTTCCCACCCACCCTATATACACACACAAACACATGTATTGGAGACAAGTAAAAGCATCAGTGCTTGACTGCTTGAACAGAAGAAGAAACAAGCGAAGACATGAAACTGCAATGGGAATCAAAAGGTGGAGTGGCGGTTGCACAAATGTTTGATGAATTATTGTTCTCCGTTTTCACAAATACACATTCCTTAGTATAGTCATATAGCTGTAAAGCATTCTAGTTTTACAAAGAGTACAAGGTAGAATACAATTTCACTAGATACCTAAATCAGATCTGAGTTTCTATATCACAATTGTGCCATTAGTAAATAAAAGTCTTGGAAAAAGTCTGTGTTGCTCCATTTCTTCTTCTATGACATATCAACCTTGGAAAATTTACCAAAGATAAGTTTAAAATCAGTAGCTCTGCATCAATATTCTGATTTTCTTTTCAAATTAACTCCCAATCTAAGAAGTAAAAAGCACAAAAATGTAATGCAAAAGAGTAGACAGGCAAAGTAATGACATCTAATAAATGTAGTGAATAAATAAAAATATCATTACTTCAAACGTATATTGGTTGTACACTTGTACCTCAAAGGGACCCGTTCATACTTACCTTAGGAAACAGAAGACCATTTCCACTATTTGAGTTTATCATAAGCACTTCCACAACTTTCTCAGAGTTGTCACCTCCATTTTTTTCTGCGTTTCTAAACCTATGAGGAATACACCTGAGAAAAAAGGTCAAAAAGAAAAAGAAAGAAAACATTACAAATTACAGAATGATCCAAGAACTTGAAAATGTTTCAGTAAAGTACAATTATTTAATATTCTCCATTAATCTAATAACCCTGTGTGTGGACTCAGACAATTCCTTTACACAAGGTTCTAAATTAATGGGCAAGCTAATTACATGATCACAAATCCCTCCTCTTGGCCTAAAATCATTTCTCATCTTGCTAATGCACACCATGTAAATCAGGATGATAGCAGTTCCTACTGACCACATCTCACGAATCTTAACAGCTGGACCTCAGACTAAAATTAACTCGGCCTTTGACTTGTAGCTGGTCAACCCTCGGGGTATCAACCAAAACCCAGTTTGAATGAAAATAAAGCAATGAAAAAAACAGTGGCGCACAGCACATAGAAGGATTTTCTAGAGAGATCCGCGTTCCCTCTCCAATACCTTCCGAACATGAGACAAGCGAACCCAAATCAAAAGATATCCAAGCGAAAAAACGAAGCAACAATGCTATTGCAACAAAAGAATGTCTCGCAACCCAGGGAATGCCAAATTTAGGGGAACAAAAATAGATGAATTGGAGGGAGGGGGTACAGAAAACCATTGAAAAAAAATTGAGAGTACCCGGCAATGAGGCGATAGCCATTCTCGTAGCGCTGCTGGTGCCTACCAGTCCGAGCCACCAATTCAGACATTTGTATCTGGCAAAGCAAAACAGAGGATACAGAAACGACGGTTTTCGCAGAAAAACGTAAATGTATCACAATCTGCGGCGGAGATTCATAAGCATGGTGTCGCAATCCTCGGATAACTTTTGGGGGTTGAAACAAATCCAGAGTCTTTTCCCTAACTCGTGCTGGCCTGGGTAAGGAGAAGGGGGTGAGATCGCGCCATTGCCATTGGGTTGAGCAGAGAGGAAGATAGCGGGTAGGGAGGGCAATGAATGCTAAGGAAAAGAGAGAGATGAGCGCAGGAATCGGAGCAACATTGGGTGGTGGTGGTGTCACTCACGCACTCGACTCTGCTTTTTAAATCGGTTACAATTTGCAGACCTCTGCTTCTCTTTTCCTCGTTATTCTATTTGTACACCTCTACCCTGCGTCACTGCGTCTGTATACCCTTTGAGTTTGGTCCGTTTCAGCCTTTCACCCTTTGAGGGGACGGTACCAGGGGTGGTTCGGTAAGGTATACCTTATATTTTTTTTCATACATTTGTCATATCAAAACTTTCGGTATGCAAAATTTACCTTATCGAAGTTTCGGTATATCGCATTTCGGTATACCGAAGTTTCGGTTCGGTAACGGTACAGTATCGGTAAATTACCGTTTATGTCTCACAATACAAAAAATTATCATAGACTAACGAAATATACTAAATCATTATTACTAACGACATATTAAATCTATTATTAAAATGTTACGAAATACAATTAATAATCTATTGATGTCAATTCAATATTTAACAATAATTATTATTAGTATTAGTATATTTAAGCAGTTCAACATGCCACATATTAAAAAGTAACACATTCTCCTAAAATAACTTGAACAATATAGATATAATTAAATCAATAGTGATCTCTAACAAAAATAAATAAAACTATTCAAACAACATGGATATAAAATCATTTATTCCTAATATGATATTGTGTATTTAATTATTTTTATAATTTTTTAAAAATTAAATAAGACTTAGCTTTCATACAAAGTTGTGTGTCTCGACCCGCGGAATCCCTATGTGGATACATTTGTCACATAAGTATATATCTCTTCACTCGTCAACTACTTAGCGGCCCAACCATCACGACTTGCAAGCTTTTGGAACAAGATGGACTAGTTTCTTGACATTTGTACATTACTCATTATTTAGTCATTAAGGTTAGCGTAGTAGAAGCCTATAAGGTTATAGTGAGATTGAGAAATTGGGCTTTTATTTTTGTATTTTTGTATTTGTAACCAACTTAAGTATTAATTCTGAGCTTCAAAATTGTAATGGATTTTTACAATATACGTAGTATTAGAATTAAAAATAATTATTGAGTAGGGAGTCGGTACGGTATTATACCGGTATATCGCGGTATTTGAAAACATTTACCGTTACCGTATCGAAATAGATCGATACGGTATGATATCGTACCGAAAATGACGGTATACCAATATTTCGGTATTTTCCGGTATTTTTCGGTACGGTAAGTGCGGTATACCGATTTTTCGGTATTTTTGCCCACCCCTAGACGGTACACATAAATGTTTACCCCCAAAACCGTCCCATTACCCGCTCGGGTAATTTTTATTTGAACCCTACCTGCTCCAACGGGGAATCGGTTTATCCGTGGTACTCATTTGCCCAAATGATATCAAATAACCAATTTCTAGCCCTGCTTGTTAATGTAAACATCTTTCGTAGTAAATTATATATTAAAAGCACCATAAAACATACAAAAGTAAATGATCAATCAATCAAGCACTTTTAGTCCTAAATTCATTAGTATGACCAGCACCCAATATCTCTTGTAACATAATAAAAAAAAATAGTAAAAAGAAGAAAGAAGGAACTGGGTCGAATCCTTGATAATGAGAAAGATTAGAAGCCACCGACGGTAGAGCCGAACCGTAGATAGGCCTGTCAATGGGTCGGGTCTAGACCCGGACCCGACCCGGACCCGGACCCGATTGTTTTTAATGGGTATGGGTCTATATTTTATTCCGTTTACCCGGAACCGGACCCGTTATTATTTTAAATAAACGTGTCGGGTATGGTACATATGATTCCGACCCGTTAAGGACCCAGACCCATTTAAATTTTCTTATTTATGTACACAAACACTAATACATAAAGTGATTGGTTGTAACATTTTAAATAAAATAGAAACTAATATACATGTATACATAATAATACATAAAGTTATTAGTTTTGATTCTTCAATAAAAATATACACATTAATACATAACTACTATATAAGTGATACCTATTGAGATAGTAATATACCCTAAAAGTAATGCTCATTTTGGCCGTAAATACATACTGATAAAGTGTGTATTGGGCTCGGTAGACATACTAAAAATAATAATAGTAATTTCTACTATTATTATTAATATTATTATATCATTATCGATCATATATAATACTACATATGATTTTATACTCTTAGTAGTCCAAAAGATCTTTTTATGACTTAATTTCTAGTTTATTCCACAAGCTTTTTGTGCGAGAGAAAGCGACGCAAAGTGTGAAGCTATATACATGTACAAGAACCGATACTTTATTAGATAAAAACACTATGGAGTAATTTTCTATGAAAAGCCTTGATTTTTTTTTTAAATGTGAAAATATATTTTGCTTTTAAATTTGTACACTTTACTTTATATTTCACATACATGTCTTGTTATTTTCACAAAGTTTATAATGGTGTGCGTATCATACTTGGTGGGCGGGTCTACCCGACCCGATTCTGAGACCCATTGGGTCTGGGTCCGGGTCCAAATTTTCAAACCCGCCCGGTAAACGGGTCGGGTCAGGGTCTATTATTAACTTAGCGGGTCCGGGTCTGGAACACTACGTTCCGACCTGGACCCGACCCATTGACAGGCCTAACCGTAGACCTAGCATCCTTCCATCTAGAAGGATTGAAGAGAGTTGTTCTCACTGTTAAGAAGCAGAGCCCCGAGCTATAAATCCGTAATACACTGAGTTAGGATGTTAGAGTTTTTGAAATGGGTCTTTGGTGTATTATTCTTTATATGCTTATATGAGATATACGATTTAGTGTACACAATTTAGCATATATACTTATTATTCTTATATATAAAAAGTTATAATTTATTAATAATGTTACGGATCGGGTAACGGTGCGGATACTCGCACCATTAGTGAACGGGGCGGTTTTGGGGCGGATAACGGGGCGGATTAGTATAAAACCATAACCGCACCATTATCTATTTAAAAAATATCTGGTATTCCACGCCCCATATCCGTTCCCCAGTCAAACCGGTTTTCCCCAGTTTGACCAAATCGGTTCGGTGTGGGTATCCAACGGGTCGGTTGAAATTGCCATCTCTACTTTCACATCTTCAAAAACACTTTAAGTTTTTAATAAGAAGAATTCTTCTTAAGACCCCCCTAAAAAACCTTTTATACACATTATTAGGGTTGTATTCACTTTTACAACAAAAAACTCTTTACAAATGTGTGTACAACAGTATTGAAACATGTACAACAAGAATTGTTGCCTAAAAAAACAGCATTGGAAAGTAAGGAGATTTTGGTCACTAATATGTTCTACTACATGTGCTCCATAAGTCAGAAGGACGATAAATTAGATGGAGATGTATTATAAGGAATCAAAATATAATGGATGGGATGAAAGAAGGCTTCAAGATTTCTATGTGTTCGAAGTATGTCGACTAAATGAAGTGGTATGTTTTATTGAACAATAATTAATTATGCTTGCACGGTTGTATGACATAGAGTGTTGGACGGTCAAACAATATCATATTTAAAGTATGAGTGTGTTTGGGATGCACATGTTGTATTGAATGTATGAGCATACTAGGAAATACCGCTTCAGGGACGAAACTATCACACAAAAAGTTGGAGTAACATCTATCGAATATAAGATGCAAGAGTCAAAATTCTGACAGTTTGGTCATGTGTGTAGGAAACCAAGTGATGCATCTAGTAGATGAATTGAGAAGTGTGGAGAGGAGGCGGGGAAGAAACGACCTAGACAAAAATAGGATTAGAGTGGTTAAGAATGATATACAGAGTATTATTTTTTGGATTATACGTGAGTATGACTTTGGAGATGAAGTAGAGCGAGAGTACACATGTGGAAGGTTGATATATGTTTGTTTGTCTCCCTATTTTATTTATTTATTGTTATTAACTCTGATGTCATGTTGATTAATGATAGCCAATTCCAAACTTTTTTGAGATTATGGCTTAGATGTTGTTGCTATTGTAGTATTGTTGTAAAAATTTAAAAAAAATCAATAATTAGGTGTGTCGAGATTTAAGGGTGTTTCGAATGGATTCTGCTTCACCTCCTTTTTTAAAAATCAGAATCAGAACTAGTTTTCAGAAATTGGTCTCCCCAACTTCTAAAAAACTGGTCCTGTAAGCAATTTGTATCATCCAGAAGTACATGTACACTTTCACTCAAGTACTCTAATATCTATTTCTGCTCCCTCACGAAGCAAAAGGTTTTAAGAAGGAGATCAAACACCCCCTTACTATACCCCTGCTATGCCCCTACATTCGAACAAATTTTAGTCTTGTTCTGTTTTACATCTACTGTGATCATTGATATTGATTCATTGCAATACTGATCTACTCCATCGGTTCTGATCCAGCTCCTTACCGCTTCTCCATTATCCTATGCTGACCTTTTTATTCTTGTGTGGCTCCCATATTACAATATAAAATTACTAATATACATTATTTTTCTATAAATTATTACCACAAATTATTTCTAATATTACATGATTCCTCGTTCCTTTTTAGTTCAGTATTCCTGTTTTCACGTTTGACGTTTGACCGTCAATATGCAATGCACAACTTTGACCGTTATTATATTTAATCTTCTATTAGTAAAAAATTAAAATCAGATTAAAAATTTGTAATGAGCCGGACTCGATTTTTTTAAACAACTCTCATACATTAATAAATAAAATATAGTCAAACTAAAGCTTGTGAATAATGAAGAACTTTGCATGTTGCAACTAAAAAGAAATGGAAGATAGTATATACTCCATCCGTTCCATATTTAACTCCGGTTTTGACCGGACACAGGTTTTAAGATAATGAGATTTGTGTGGTGGAGAGTTATGCAAAGGAGTGAGAAATGTGTAAGAATGATTGTGAATCACATATTCTTTACCAAAAAGAGAAAAATGAGATAAATTTGGGACGGACCGAAAAGGAAAGTGTGAAGATAATTCCGGGACAGAGGGAGTAATATAATCCACTTATATTATTATATTGTGTAAGATTTATAAATTCTAAATACATAATATTACGATCATACCCCCTCTGTCCCACAATTAAAGTCACCGTTTGACTTTTGTGGTCTCCTAGGCGGATGTTTGAAGTAATCATCTATTAATATATACCTATAAAATCTATAATAAATTGACATTTGAATAATACATT